GAGGTCGTTCAGTTCCAATATGTCTACCGTTGCCATGGAAACCTGTAAAAAGCGACAAATTTTGTCCGAGAGTGTTCTCTCTGGTCCCTTAAACGTTCGTCATGAAACTTTTCTTATTTTAATGATTAGTATCTGTAGTTGTGCGATTCGCATTTAAAATTTTCAAATAATCGATTATTGCCATGGAAACCAGGTGAAAGTTAAAATTCTTTAATTTCGATTTTCTCAATAACTACGCAGGCAATCGTTTCGAAACTTTCAATGTTTATTCCTTGCAATGTGTCAGAGTGATTTCTACTTTTAAAATAATTGTAATGAGTCGCTCACAGTTGCCATAGAAACGAAACAGAAAAAAAGATTCAGATGTACACATGTGTTCTCCAAGGTCTAGGTCAAAGGGTCAAAGTTCGTCGTATCCAATAAAAGTTCTTTTCACAAGGATTACATATTTGAAATACGAAAACCCTAGCACTTACCGTTCAAACGTTATGGCTATGTACTATGTTCAAGACACCCCCCCCCTTTGAAGCACACAGCCAGGTAGAATACACAGATATAACATATACAACTTACAAGTAACGTTTTAAAATCTTCATTCATAAAATTCAGTTCCCGTCATGTGATATTTTGCCATCATTCATTATCTTTCTGTTTTGTCTCTTGAATTTATAAATATTTTATTTTATCTATATAAAAAAAATAACGATCGTCAGCTGCATTTACTATCATTTCGCGTTTTCTTGTATATCTATTACTTGTATATTATTCATTTCATTAGATAGTGCAAGTATAAATTAAAAAATTGGTACGTCATTTCCATAGTTTTTATTCATTCATAAATCCTTGGATCCGCTCCTGCAGGTTCGCGAAGCCTTGATCACCACTGTATACAAAACATTCATCTCGCCGAAAATGTTCATGATTCCGCTAAACTGAGAAAGTTTACACACGATTTATCATCTCATTACAAACATCAGCTCTCTGCAATCCAGAAATGCTCGAACTGATGGTGGTATGTCAGATTGGTTTTTCGGCAGAACCTCTAAAAATGAAAGTGAAAGAAGGAAATTTCAGAGTTCTCACTGGCGTTACAATACACAAAATAATTCGGCTGATCTTCTTCATAAATTACATTTCCCAAGCTTTTATGATAGGAAAGATACTGCCAATTAACAAGTATGAGGCTCTGTTCAGTACATCTGCCAGATTTCTTTTATGCAAGTCTGCAAATTTAGGATTTTGTAATTTTCCTGCACTACTTTCTTCTCCTACCGAATCTAAAAATAATTAGTGGGATGTACCCAATTTAGGTCTTCCGTTTCCAATGGAAAGGACTGATACAACTCGATGGTTGTTCAAACTTAGCTAATGGACTTTTGTTTTAGTGATGATAAAAATGAAAGTCTTGTCCAGTACGGGGCGACATATGCTATTGCTTGCAATAGCAGACTTTCTAGTTATTCTTTTTTTTTCTTCTACTTCCTAGACCAATTTTGAGGCCTCATATCTTACTCATTTCTCAACAGATTTCGCTCAAATTGTCAGAGGTTATAGACGTTTATAAACTCTATCAGAATGATGACTAAAATTTCAAAAAGTCACTTCCGGTTTTTAGTTATTCCGCTTTAAACGAAAATCATAGGCTTTCGTTTCCGGATAAAGGCTCAGAGACCACAAAAGCTGGAGCAGAAATTTTACTTGTTTTAGATAACAGAAGGATTGAAGTTGTGCACATCGGTTTTTGTTTTTCGATTTCTGCATTCAAAATGGCGCTATATAGGGGTCAAAAATTAGAACGCCTAAAAGAGCGAAAATTTACAGATATTTTCCTTTTTATCTTGAAAACTAAAAATATTTTGTTAAGACATGATGAATAAAAGTTGTGCATAATTACAAGCGCTTTCATTTGATATCATTAAAAAGGGGCTGGCCCCTAAAATTAGGGATCTAGGGCCCTTGAAAGTTTTTGTTTAATATCTCAAAAAGTATTGGGAATTTATAATAAGTCAAACAAGCAAATTCAAAGAATTGTGGTCCCCCGCTTTCAGTATCTTTGTGGGCAAGATATCATTTGTAGGGTCAAGGTCAATAGGTCAAAGTTTTTGGTATCCCATGAAAGGTCTTGCCATAAAGAATACATATATTTAAAATATGAAAGTCCTAGTTTCTACCGTTCAAAAGCTGTGACCAAGGTTAACGTTTTTAAAAAGTAGTTAAAACTCCAAGGTCAAGGTCAAAGGGTCAAAGTTCTTGGCATGCAATGAAAGGTCTTCTCACAAGGATTACATACCTGAAGTACGAAAGCCCTAGCCCTTACCGTTTAAAAGTTATGGTCAAGGTTGAAGTTTTTTCAGAAGTACGTAAATCTCCAAGGTCAAGGTCCAAAGGTCAAAGTTGTTGGTATCCAATGAAAGGTGTTGCCTCAAAGAATACATGTGTGAAATATAAAAGTCCTTGTATCTACCGTTCAAAAGTTGTGACCAAGGTTATAATTTTTAAAAAGTAGTTAAAACTCCAAGGTCAAGGTCAAAAGATCAAAGTTGTTGGTATTCATTGAAAGGTCTTCTTACAAGAATAAAATATGTGAAGTATAAAAGCCGTAGCCCTTACCGTTCAAAAATTATGGTCAAGGATATAGTTTTTTCATAAGTACGTAAATTTCCAAGGTCAAGGTCAAAAGGTCAAAGTTGTTGGTATTCATTGAAAGGTCTTGTCACAGAGAATAAATACATGAAATATGAAAGTCCTAGTACCTACCATTCAAAAGTTATGGCCAAAGTAAAAGTTTGGAATTTTTTAGTAAAAGTAGTTGAAACTCCAAGGTCAAGGTCAAAAGGTCAAATTTGGTGGTACCCAAAGAAAGGTCTTATCACAAGGAATACACATATCAAATATGAAAATTATAGCTCCACTAAATCAAAAGTTATGGGCAAGGTTAAAGTTTTTGTGACGGACGGACAGACTGACGGACCGACGGACAGACAGACGGACGGACGGAGAGACATACAGACGAATGAGATTTAATGTCCCCTCGCTTTCGCGAAAGCGGGGGACAATAAGCAAAGTTGTTCAAAATGTCAAGCTTTATCTAATGAGGTTGTCAAAATACGTCCGGGGACGTCATTTCCGGTCAAACCGGAAGTAATAAAAAATTGTATATTTTTGTTGTTCTTGACAGGTTTTTGGATATCATATGTCACTGGAAGCTCAAATCTTAATTTTCCGTACGTTGACGGCACTTCCGGTTTGCTTCCGGTCAAACCGGAAGTTGCCAAAAATGTCTTGATTTTGCAAAAATGAACATAGATTTGGAGGATTAAACCATTTTTCGACTTCATTACTCTTTTTTTTCAAATGAAAGTTACTTCTGGTCAAACAGGACGGAAGACGTACTCGTTGCTTTACAACGAGCTCGGCTCTAGTTCAATCATATGATAATACAGGTATTCAATATCAAAGTCCATAAAACAATACAAAATAGAAGTAGAGCAAACACAAACCTCCAAAACATCAGAGGTGGGATCAGGTGCCATGGAGGAGTAAGCATCCCCTGCCGAACGGTCACACCCGCAGTGTGCTCCTAGTCATGATCGGGAAATAACTATCATGTTGTTAATTATGAATTTACTAGGGTGAGGTAAATTTTGCATTTATCTCCCCCTAGTAAATTCAAAATTTACGCCATGATATAATGGAAAATTTCGTCGTCAACTCAGTGTATAATTAATGGACTAACAATAAGTATGAAATATGTCAGCCAGCATTTGACTCAATGATCAATTGTATTTGCTGACTAGGCCATTGTACCGACCATAGAACTCACGAAATGATTTTAAACGAGACTGTTGATAATCTTGTTTCATCAACCTGTTTGTCAATAATTTACCTCGTTTTAGAAATCGTTCATACATAGAGCATGCTCAAGCGTATCGAATCAATTGAGATATGTAAACTCCGTACGTAGGTGATGAAGATATATTGCTGCATAGGTAAGGGAAGTTGACGATAGAAAAGTTAAAGTCATCACGTTTATCATAGAGCTTGGTTGTTAAATTACAATGAGTGTCTTTTTCAAGTAAAATATCCAAGTATGAAACAAATGTTTCAGACTCTGTGGTATCTTTTATTTCAAGCTCACCAGGATATATCGTATCGACATAGGAATGGAAATTACCATTGTTAATTGACAATACGTCGTCGATATATCTAGATATCGAGTTGAAGGCCTAAAGGTTCCCATGGATTGGAAAGGGCCAGTTAGTAAACCCAACATTTTTTAAGTTATATCCTGAAAAACTCATGAAAGACCAGCTATTATATGCCATAAAGTGTTCAACTAATCATTACCGGGGCAAGGTAAAGGGGCCCTAAGGTTATCATTTTATCGCTATCAAAAAGGGGCTGTAGAGGTATAACCAAGTGGTGCCAAGTGTGAGGGGCATATTTCCAGCGTTCGTATTTTATTCATTGTTGGTCTCTTGAACAAACTATCACTAGGGATGGGTTAAGGGCTAAAAAATATTAGTTGGATAGAAATTTTTGAAAGTATGGACCTACCTTGAATATCGTTTCCAAATGTCTATGGCATTACAACTGAAAAAAAATCTGTCAAAATAATGAAAATAAGGAATATTGACGATGGAAAAGCTGGTCATCCCATTTGTCATATAGTTTAGTTATCAGTTGGCGTTATCGTCTATAGTCAGTAAACATCCAGATATGAAAGCTAACCTTTTAAGGTTGAAAGTGTATTTTGTTGGAGTAGAGTGAGATATCAATCTAGGATTTTTAATATATATATTTTTCAGTTTTCTTTTCCGTACTTTATAGACGAAGCTTAGTTTTAATTGAGGTTAAAGAAAATAACTTAGTTTAAATCATTTGCAATCTTTTTCTTGATGAAATGATATACTAGTACTCGTAAATAATCCAGAACCATATCTCATGTTGATTTCATCTTGAAAGCTTAAATTTGTGGTGAAAAAAAATGTTAACAGAAAATATATTCATCATTTATTGACCCAAAACTCAAAAGTGTGGCTGCATATCTAAATATAATATATTTCATTTATTTTTATTTATTAAACGTCTTTTCTAATTTTTAACCAATGATAATAACTCCGGAGTTCTCCTCAGTTGTTGTCGGTTCCATCTCTGTCGTCGTTGGAGCTGGCGTTGTGGTTGTAGTGGTAGAGCTAGTTGTCGTCGGTGTCGGAGTTGTCGTTGTTGAAGGTGAAGCTGTTGATGTTGGTGGTGGGGGAGAAGTTGTTGTGGGTGTCGGTGTTGAAGCAGTTGTTGGTTTCTGTGTCGTCGTCGTTGTTGTTGTCGGTGTGGTGGTTGTTGTCGTTGGCGTGGTTGTTGTCGGTGTTGTGGTTGTAGTTGTCGGTGTTGTGGTAGTTGTCGGTGTGGTTGTTGTTGTCAGTGTGGTTGTTGTTGTCGGTGTGGTTGTTGTGGTCGGTGTGGTTGTTGTCGAAGGTGTTGTAGTTGTTGTTGTTGTAGTGGTGGTGGTTGTTGGAGTTGTCTTTGTAGTGAACTCGTGCTTTTCGTTATAAATAGCTGCACGAGAAATCGAGAACATTTACGCTTCAAAGTATTCCATAAATTTTTGGATGTGAGCACATACAAATCTTTACGATTTCATTTTACTCTCCAATCCGATAGCAAATATGTGTAGTGTCTTTCAAAGTTATCATCTTAAAATGTTGTAAACACACTGAATAATTTTTATAAAATTCAATACCCGAGATTACCCGTATTATAGTATATTTTTTAAACACTCACTTACACGGATTAGTGATAAAAATCACATAGATCTACAAACCATAATATTCAGTGCACATGTTGCACGTTTTTGCGCATGCATTTATAGCAAATTCTTTTCCCTCGGGATCAGCAGCATTACAAATGGTGTCTCTATTCAGCTCACAGATCCCATTTTTGTCGTTGTCCTCGCAATCCTGTCGTAAGTGATCTTTACAGAGGTTACAGGTCACGGGGCACATATGTTGGGCGTACTCCCAACCCCTCTCGTCTGTGGGGTTGCAGATTGTGTCCTTTTCATTAGCACAGTAACCAATGGGACCATGATCTCGACATGGAGCCTCTAGAAAACAAAACTAAAAGTAGATTGGTGTAGGACACATAAAAAAGAATTTTTTCAAGCATCAAATCTTCATCAACTGCTTTCTGTGAGAGTTTGTTGACTGTCTTACGAGTTGTGGTGGGTATTGTTGTTGTTGCTGTTGAAAGGGGTGTTGTAACTAAAATAAGGAAAAATCTGATAGAAATAATACTTCATTGATAAAAATAAAAAGCAAAACGCTTCTATAATGGCAAAATTGAAATGTAAATAGGTAAATAGATTATAGTAACCTTGCAAAGAGTCGATGCACTGTTGTGTTCTGCAGCAACATGACTGACTTGGCCATGATCCACAAGGTGAGTATTGAACACTCATAATGTAATGACATTCCTAAATATACAATTTAAAGCATTACCTAATGATTTCTTCTTGTCTTTTCAGGATAAAAAACGCAAATGATGTTGACTTACATGTTCACAACCTGTTGTCAGTGAACCATTTCTCGCAAAGTCATGGAGAATACAAGTCTGAAAAGATGAAATTAAATAGAAATTCAATTTAAAAGCAATTTAAAATGAAATACATGGAGATAACAAACGGTATTCGAGCTCAATAGCCCCTTAAACAATACAAAAAAGAAGAACAAAACTATTATCAAAATAGTATTACTTGGAATGTTGTTGAAATTCAAATATATGTGTAAACAAACTTACGTTATTGTACCCTTGGCAGATTTGGCCTTTGCAGTTCAAAGGCGGAGAGGCCGTTGTGACAGGAGTGTCTAAATAATACAAAAAATCAATACTATAGTTTTTAAAAAGTCTTAAAACATAAGAAATTCAACACAACAGATTTTAACTTCAGAAACTCATTGGAAAACACATCTGTACGATTATTTCTCGACTGGTTAGAATGCATTTAAACTGTATAACAGAAAAGACGCCCGTCAGCTTAATTTTCATCATTCTTTTAAGATTAGAAAGTATGTATATTGCTAGGGGGAATATTGAGTGCAATGATTAAAAAGAAATTAAACAATAAGATTAGTATACTGTTTTTTACGTTAAGGTCAGTTAAAGATACAAAATGGAACTGCTCTTAACACACTTCCTAAACCTAACTTAATTTTCCTCGAAACACAAGTTTCAAAAAGACAAGACTTGACTTCAACATACATGTATATCCCAGTGAGCTTGAAATAAAAGATACCACAGAGTCTGACGCATCTGTTTCATATTTGGATATTTTACTAGAAAAAGACGTTAATGGTAACCTAACAACAAAGCTTTATGATAAACGCCATGACTTTTCAACTTCCCTTACTTATATAGCTATATACCCTTATCACATGCATATGGGGTTTATGTTTCTCAGCTGATTCAATACACGAAATGCTCTACCTAAGAACATTTTCTAGAAAGAGGCAAGCTTTTGACAAACAAGTTGAAGAAACAAGAATATCAACAGTCTCTTATGAAGTCATCATTGCAATCATCAATATTTTTTTGTAGATACAATGACCTTGTCAGAACATACATCCTAACAATGAGTCAAATGATGACGTTTTCCATACTACTTGTTAGGCCATCATTTATACACTGAACTGTCTACCGATTTCTTTTCCTTTTTACCGATCATGTCAAGGAGCACAGGACGAGTGACTGGTTGGCAAAGGATGCTCACTTCTCCATGGCACATGATCACACCTCTCCCCATTTTTTCTTAATTCGAGAAGAAGTAGCATTTCCAAACGGAAATACACCGTTTAAAACTTTGCTGAATCCTTTTCACATCTAAATTGTGGGGTTTTTTAATGAATTATTTTCCTGATACTTACCTGAGCACAGATCATTTTTCAGCTTCGTAGCGATTGACTGTAGGTTTGCAAAGTCGGATACCTGAATCACATAGTCACTTGTCATGGAGATGTTGTTAAGTTCCGGTCTTCGGATTCCAGACCCGATCCCTATTGCAAAGGTTTTAATATTGTTATTACGAACCATTTCTGCCTGCGCCGTGGTGGCAGCAGGACTGCTTGACTGTCCATCTGTTAAAACAAATAAGATGTTCTGGGCATCGGGTCGATCTCCAGGCTGATTGAATACTCTTGTCCACGCCAGATTTAATCCCAAATCAGTGTGAGTAGATCCTTGAACGTATCTGACATTGTTAATAGCTGAAACTACACTTGATTTTGTTACGTGGTCATTCAAATCGAAGTTGACTGTCGCAGTGGTGGAGAACGTTATAACTCCTATTTGGACATGAGAGGGTCCTATGGTTAGCGAATTTACAAAGGAAGACACAAAATTTTTCTGAAGTTGAAAATTTGCAGATCCTTCTGAACTTGAAGAATCCAACATAAAGACAATATCTGCTTTGACATGTTTTGATGCATTTGAAATGCAATATTTATTAAGAAAATTTTAGATGTCTGAAACTGTCATGAGTGAAAACGAAACAACATTCGAATATTAAATAAATGCAAGGAAAAGGAGTAACTTTTTTCATTCTGCTTTTCATAGGAATTATTTTGATAGATGCTTTGATGAAATTTCAAATGGCAAAGCCGTGAAGTATATTTAATTATTAAAACAATAATCTTACATAAAAGATATGTCAATTTGAAATATTTAACATTTTCATCGCATTTCCAATATATTATTTTCCAATTTATTTTAATTAATAAGAAAAAAATAAAAAAATTAATTGCTATTTTGTTATATGATTTCTTAAGAAAAATTAATATTTTGACATCCCTAGAAAATTCATTCTATTTTTTATATGATTACTTCTACTTTTACAAAATGATTTCGTTTTCTTTTTTTTAATATCAACATACCACTGCTGCACACAACCCCAACATCCTCAGCATGAGTGCAATCAGAGACACCCAGCGGACTGTGCCTGCACTTATCTAATCCTGTCTCATGTCCAGTGCAGTTTACGTCATCCAAAGCAACAAGTCCTTTCCCGGACCCGAAAATATTGTGTGGTCTAACTTGTGCTGTCGAACTAGAAAAAAATTAATATGACCAAAAAGTATGACTTTTTCAATTTTAAGTACTGTATGATATTTATAAAAGACAAAAATTTACAATTTAAACAAGTGTTATCAAAAATAGTTCAAATTTACCTAAGCGGTTCAGTATTTATTTACATGTTAGTTTAATGAAGCTTCTCTTTTGAGCATTACCTTTCATATCCCATCTTTGAGCATACGACAGCGGCAGCATTTTGGTCAAAATGATCATCACACACGGTACCCCAAGCACCGTTGTAAAAGACCTCCACTCTTCCCTGGCTTGCACTTCCTTGTCCATCTACCAGTCGGACGGGAAAGTCCGTGGCTACGAAAGGATACATGACTTTTATCATTTGATCTTTGACATTACTATATATTTAAAATGTTATTTCTCTTAAAAGCAGTTCTGTTGCATGGGTTGGGTAACAAAACGAAATTTAAAGAAGTTTCATCATGAACGTATATGATTACTGATATCAGACTTACTTGAGGAAGGCAAGTGAGAGGAAGCATTGGATGGATAAACTGAAATGGAATCTCTCATTTATAAAAAGAAATTAAAGATAATCATTCACAGCAAATCATATACAGCCGTAATTTGATGTTAAGAAATCAGAAATATACAGAGAACTTACTTGAACACGAGGACTGTGTGAATAAAATGTCATCTATGGCAATATCACTGAAGTAACTGCTTCCACGAATTCCTTCTAACACCACCTAAACACAAAATATAAATCTGCCCTTTTTAGGGCTGTATCAATATATCGATATATCGATGGCAATATTCCACTGAAGTTTTTTCTTCAAATTCTCTTTAAAAGATGGGAATTTCAATCACCAAAGATTATATTTTACTTTTTTGAATTAAAACATTCAATAATTATTTAATTTCCAAAGAAATAACACAGTTTTTATAATTATTACAACACAAAATTTTATAAGTGTTATTTTTAAAGACAATGCCCTTTTATACATTAAAATGATTTAGAAGCCTTTTTTGATGGACTTGTTTTAGAATCCAATATATCGTGCTTTAGTAAAAACACAGCAAGCACACACACACATCCTTAGTAGAATAAAATGAATAATAATATTAATATAATTCTATCCAAGTATTAATTTCAAAGCTGTTGTACCCACGTGGTATGTTCGTGTACTGGTGACAGTGACTTGGCCACGATGCCAGGAATTCCCCTGATTTCCGCTTATACTCCATACTGTGGTGTTCCCAATAGAAGTGGACACTATCACATTTAATGTTCCCATTGATTTCCCGTACATGTGATACCAGAAATGTAAACATCTTGAGTCTGATGATGATAGACTTGGGCTCACAAGACGTGCTATATCTCCTGGTTGTCTTGGTGAACTAGCCTCTGTATAGGCATAGTGTCCTGGAAGTAGAGATAAAGAGTCCGTTTATGTATTCTCAAGGTGTATCAATTGAACATTCCCTTATACATTACTCAGTTTAATGTAAAGTTTTATACTTTTGATTAAATTTGAAACGAATTTATCAGTATTGTCACAGTGTGATTAAAATAGGACCTCCACATTTTGTAAATTTTCGTATTCCACCCAAGCTTTATCCAGCGTAATCGATATAGTGACATTTGCGAATCTACATGTTGAAATAACGTATTTTAAAAATATGCTGTCCTGCGCGTGTTTTGCTTACATTGAGCATAAGAATTTTCTTTGAATTTTATAAAAGAAGGTAATGATTACCTAACAACCAAACTTTATGATAAAAGTGATGACTTCAACGTATCTATTTTTTGCTTATTTATGTTGTAATATACCATTTTCAACTGCATACGGAGTTTATGTCTCCCAGTTGATTTGATACGCAAGACCATGCTTTACTTTCGAACACTTTCTAAAACGAGACAAGCTTCCAAAAAATAAGTTGATGGAACAAGAATATTAACAGTTTTGTTTTAAGTTTTATGGTCATCACAATGGCGTTGTAAGCTAAAACTGTCATGTAGTGTAATGTTGACTGTTTTTGATTTTTTAGACAAATATTTAGTCCATTATTTTTTCTCTGAATTATCCACGGAAGTCCTGTTTGTCTGATCAAGAGAAGATGTAAATGGCGGGGTGACTACTTATAAGGGATGTTTTACTTCTCAGCGATCCATGACACAATATCATATCTCTGATGCTATAGAGGTCCAAGTTTGCTCTTCTCCAGTTTGTATTGTTTCATTCGACTTTTAAGTTCCTTCACCGTTCAAATTCATTATCGTCATATTTCATACCAAAGTAGATTTCATTTTACTATACAGTCATTATGATATTTCAGATATACTCAAAAATATCATAAAACCCTTATCCTGAAACTATCTTGATGTTTAATGTTTACAAAACGAGTGTTTATGGATTTCAAGAATTACCTGTTGAAGTTCCTGTTGTGTGGTCGAAGCTAGGTCCTGTAGCAGTAGAAATTGTCGAACCTCTGTTAATGGTCCAATCAAAATTTTCATTGTGAACATTTGACCACTGACATGGGTGTGACTGTTGTTCAAAGTCACAGTTTGCTGAAATCAAACGAAAATTAGTATAGTTGGCTTAAAAACCCTTTGCAAGGTCAAGGTAAAACAGAATAAAATATTCTCATTTATAAAAACTGATTTATTTCATATCAAACTAGAAATCCTCCCATACCACCAGTTGACGTGCTCTGACATATAATTCCTACATCCTCTGCATGTGTGCAATCACTGATTCTGGAGTGCTGACACTGGCTTAAATCTGTCTCTGTCCCACTACATCTGACGTCATCATAAGCTATTCGACCTGACCCTCTGCCGAAATAGGCTTGGGACTTTACCTGCGCATTAAACCTGTCAGACAAAATTCAAAGCTTGTTGTTACCTAAACCAGAACATGCAATTACAATAACAAAATGGCACCTTTTCACTTTTCACTTCCGTCAGGCTTTCTGTCTGTATCCCTGATCACTTTGTGCTTTCTGGAACCAATATTCTCAAACCACAGTTTGCAGAAATATATTAATATCGAGGACATTAATCTTAGATTTTTTTTATGAAAAAAGAGAAATAAACAAGTGTATTAACTAATTGTTGTTTCTAACCTGCTATATCCTAACTGTTCGCACACGACTCCGGCGGCGTTTCTGTTAAATAAATCATCACAAACTGTTCCCCAAACACCCAATAGATTATCGTAAATTTCTAATCGTCCCTGGTTAGGTAACCCATGTCCATTTACCAGTCTTACTCTTGTTGACGATACTAAAAAAAGTTTTTCTTCAAAATAAATGTAGGGCTCTTGTTGGATAAAATTTAACACGTGACTTCATTTACATGTTCTTTCGTTATTTTTGCTTTTTACAAAAATGTTTTATTTTGAAGTGGCTAGAGAGCTTTAAACATATCTAGAGGAACTTGAAAGAAAAAATAAGAATATTCCTGTTACATTACCTGATAGAATATATGTCCCAGAAATCAAACATAGAAAAATAAGATTGCTAACCATTTCTGTTACTATCTTGAGGTCCTTAGATCATGTATGACCTATATCTAAGAGGAAGAGACTTATCAATATTCTGAATTTGATAGTCGAATGTAATTACAATTGTTTGGTCCGAAATAGGGACAACCAACGGTTACAAAAATTTTGTCGCCAATAATGTAAGAGCTGTGAGCTTTTTGATTTGAGTGGAAACCTCATTTTGTTGTCTAATCTAAGTTTTAGATTTGTATAGTAAGTTTTTTGTTATAATATGGAGGAATGACGTTGTGGTTAATTTATTTTGATAAGGACTTATCCCTATATCTAGGAAGTGGAACATTTCGCAGTGTCCTACATTTAGCAGGAACAGAATTTAAAAATAGAATATTTGAAATTTTTGATCTGATTGACATTCAAAAATGTTAAGACTACAGTACTAGTGTAATGTCCTCTCTATGCATTTTGTAGAATCAAAAATGAGACAAATATAAGTCTTATTGAAATTTTTATTGTGGAAACTTTCAATAAAATTTTTAAAAACTTATTTTTTAATAATTCTTTTTTTAATACTTGTATATTAAGCACTAGGGTCTAAAGGATGCTGACATTTTAAAATATAAATTGTTAAATCCAATACAAATATCAAAACAACTGTCAAACTACAATAGACTACCAAACATTCGAAATTTTCAATATATAATTTTGAAAAATTAACTTTTTGACTATTAGAGCTGCAGTAAAATCTCTACTGGCAACCAATACAGAATCAAGAATTCAACAAAAAGTACATGTAACATGAAAAGACACACTTTGTAGAACGTTTGGAAGAGTGTCTCTTATCAACGAGTAACAGAGGGGTTACATGTATTATAAGTTCAAAAAGCGAATTCTAGAAATTAAACTATAGGCTTACTGTGGTGCTTGCTAGTTGAATGATTATGATAACAGACGATTTGATACATATTTTAAAATAAGACAAATTGGACAAAAAAATCAATGGACATAACAAATGACTACTTATTTCCTAGTAGTATGAAACATAGTTTGTTTGAATTCTTACATGTGATAAAGATGAAAACAATCGATTTTGCTTTTAACTCGACGTTTAGATATACTAGTATTGACGATGTATTGCAAATCAATAATGGTAACATTCGTTATTTCTATTCTTATGTCGATACGATATATACCGAGCTTACAATAAAAGATACCACAGAGTCTGACATATCTCTTTTATATTAGGATATTTTACTAGGAAAAAAAGTTAATGGTTATCCAACCACAAATCATTATGATAAATGCGATGGCTTAAACTTTTTAATCGTCAACTTCCCTACCTTATGCAGCAATATACTCTCATTACCTGCATACGAGGTTTATATCTCTCAGTTGATTTGATACGCAAGAGCATACCCCACGTCTGAACAATATCTGAAACAAGGAAAGTTATTGACGAACACGTTGATGAAACAAGCATATCAGCAATCTCGTTTAAAGTCATCATTTCGTAAATTCTATGGTCGATCGATGAACTTGTCAGCAAATACGATCTACCATGAAGTCAAATGCTGACTGACGTATTCCATACTGGCCATTGAACTGTCGAGGGATTTTTTTCCATTATTTGCCGATCATGACAAGGAGCACTTGTTGGGTGAGTCTGCTGGGGATGTTCACTCCTCGATGCATCTGATTCCACCTCTGATGTTTTAGATGTCCATATTTGCTCTGCATGTGTAATTTTCCATATAGAGTTTTTAACTTTTGCTTGTATTGTATAATTTTATTTTGTATTATATAATTTTTCATTCGTATTCTTTTATTATTTTTTCTCATTTGAATTGCACATATTTTCATTTGTATAGTATAATTTCCAATACATTTATGTATAATTTATAATCTTTTTCTTCCTATTTGTTTTTTTATAATTTTCAATTTATATATATAATGTACCGGTATAAATTTCCAGTAATAAAATGAAAAATAATGATACGCATAGAAAATTGTAGGCAGCATGATATGGTTTACAGCAGTCTTCTTGACCAATGAAGTTTATCAATCAGAGACGGAATAGTTTTGAAAAAATATATTCAACATAGTTGAATACTTTATTGGCATTAAAATTTTTTCACTCATTCTTGTGGACGGTGAGTTGCAAAAGACCCATGTAGTCTGCTTTTGTAACATTTGACCAGCGAGGGATCTTTTTCGTGACAGCACCTACTGCGACGGGGACCTCGATTTAAAATTAGGAAGTGGAATAATAGATATTAAGAAAGTGTTTAAAAATGTTTTATTGGGTTCAAAATACAAATCTAGCAAAACATACTAGTTTCGCCTGTGCAAAACATAACTTTCTCTTTGGCAAAGAAAAAATAACATTATAAATATTTTAAGGCTTATAACATTGTTTGTAGAATATATTTAGGAGGTGGTTTCTAAAACTTTTGAAGACACTAATAAGCTTCATTTAAAAAGAAATCACAATAACAAAGTCAAAAGGCGTTTACTTCATAATTATACAGAAACAATAAATACTCCAGAATATATCTCAGTTGCTTATAAATTATAAATATATTCTTGTTGATTAACAGAATATTGATGTAAATAAAACATACTTTAAAATATTTTCAAACTATCACAGAAAAATTTCATGAAAGACAAATGTAAAGAAAAATGTATAAAATAAGAATAAACTGAAACAAGAAAAAAAAAAACATCAGTAATCTAAAAACAGATGCAACATACCCAATGGTATCTGAAATGGAGGAAAAATTGAATACCTATGTCTTACCACATTTTGTCATGGTTACTGTCATGATTTTCCCTTAAAGTCTGATAATTTATTTTACTGTTTTTCCAAAGAAAATTAATGATATTTGAAGAAATTAATTGCTAGAACACCATCTGTCAGAATCTTGAACAGAATTCAAAAAGCGACTATTTCACCGTTGAACTCGATTTCTACAAAAGATCCATATCCATGATAAGCAATCAGAGGCAAATTTCAAAACAAACATTTTAATCAAAATTGAAATATCTCTAAATCATTAATGTAGCTTGTTTCTATTACCTTGAATTCCTAAAAAAAAAAATTAAAAATCATATTTCACCTTTCAGAGCATTAAACTTCTCAACAGCACGGTCCACATCCATTTTAGTCTTCGCAAGAGATGGTTTCCAATACATACGCAGATATTTCTGCTGAAAGACATTGGGTAATATGGCAGGTATCTAGCAATAAAAAAATTAATGATTTCATTTCCCTGTTCCCCTTCAGAAGTTTCTTTTAAAATGATAACAGCATAAAAATGCCTGTATTGACAAAAATAATCAGAAAGGGAAATTCAAATACGCCATTTTCTTTATTAAATTGGGTGTTTACTAGTATATAAAAATCAAATACTCTCTGTTAGATAAATCATTGTCTTAGATTGAAAAATTAAATCAAGTTATGTTCTATCTTTATAAATTACTGTGTAACAATTGCAATTCCACTTAAGCTTGAAGAAAAACTTTATTGTGAACTTCATTGCAAACTACAATGGCAGGGAACTAATATACAGGAAGGAAATATCATATTTTCTTCAGTAATTGATTGTTCCTTCCGCTGAATATCGATGTTTAAATTCGGGTAAAAACTCTCAATGTTACTCTGATTGGACAAATTCAAGCTGGAAAGCTTTTTCAAAAAGCTTAGTTTCACCACCAGACGACAACGCTTTTCTTAATATGATCTTTTTTCTTTCGCCACAATTTGAATTTTGACTGTTGAGACAAGTGTCTGTAACTGCATTTTACTAATCTTAAAAAGGATACAGATCTCGATGAGTTGCAAAGTTCAGTCTTTAATTCTTGTACAAGATATAATCTAAATGTTCAATTTTTTTCCTCAAAAAAAAAGATTTTTTATATAAAAAATTTCCGAATACCAGACATAATATCAACATGTCAATTTGTATATTATATTCCTAAACAAGTACGATATAAAATCGAATTTTTTATAAATAAAGGAAAGATAATCTAAGAAAAGGAAGTTGATTTTTTTCCAATTTTTGTATAGTCATTTTTTTGTACAAGACTGTCGCTGTTAGATACCTCATCATCTTTCATAGTCACCGGCTTATTATCTTTATAAAAGTAAACGTGCTTCATTGGATTTTCTTCTTTACTTCCAAAATCAAAGGAGACCATCTGTAGAAAATATCGCAAGCACATAAAAAGGCTGTCAACTTGTACTGTGTTCATTTAATCACAATCAAAATTTCAATTTTTTATCATTACACATATCATCAAGAAGATTTTTTATCGCACCTTTAGATAAATTTCGTCTCTTTTCAACAGATCTTGGATAAAAGATTCCTCTTCAGAATTCATTTGTGACCTTTTTTCCTGATTTTAATTGTAAAGATGTCAAAGATAAATAAACAGGAAAAATATGGAGAAGCAGTGATGTTTGTAAAAGCCTGCTTTAAATAAAAATAATTGTTAAAACAACATTTCAAGAATAAAATTATTTAAATATGATTTATGTAGGTAAAATACATACTTTTATGCTTATTTTTCTTTCTGCCACACATTTGTAAAGGTCACGTTTAAATATTCTGTCAATGATCTTTTTAGCCTTATTTATGTCCTTTTTATCATCACCATTATTGTTTTCAAGACGAATTTGATGAATGACATCATCTGTCACTAAACTATATGCTTCCATGTCAGTAATTGTCTCAGACAGGTTCATAATTGTTCCATTCTTGCCACTGCAACAAAGGAAAAATTTAATAATAACTAATATAAAAAATTAAAAATGCTACCAGAAAAGGCAACATAACAACTTTGCGAACACAATTATTTCAAGAGAGAAATCTACAAGTAATTTAAAACAATTACAAATACGAGTATACTTAAATAGAGATATGCAACTTGAAATCTTATTATTGATCGGTTATTGGTAAGGAAATACATGTATTAAATCACAGCACTTTAATCAACCTATAGATTCAACATTTATCTGAAAAAGAATCTGCATCTCAATATACTAATAACTCACCTATAGATCAGCTTTTCATTTGCAAGGCAAAGAGCATC